ATGTAAATTGTGGCCTCCAGATCTAAGGAAATCGGCAGTGATATTATCGGGTCCAGGAGATGTGACTCTTCTCATGCTTTCTGTTACAACTCAAACCTCCGACGGAAGAATTTCAGGTGGCTTTTCTTCAGTGGAAATATTAGGGCCCGTGGCGGGGATTGTGAAACGGACAATGTTGGTGTAGAACGTTTCCGATATTAATTCCATATCATTGCGAGAAGTTTTGACGATCCGATCTTCGTTCATCAGGGCTGACAGTGGAACATTGTAATCACACAAGCCCCGACAGCATTTTTTCAAACTGGTCCTTTTCTCTGCTGCTTCCAGTAGTTTCTTCTGCTCGTACCGTTGTAGAGTTTCCTACAAAGCTCTTCTGCAGATGGCATTTATTACTAGCCATGTTAAACGTTGCAGTGGGATCCAGTTTCCTTCTACTTTGGAACAGCTCCTTAGTAGTGATGGAGATGCAATCCGATCTTCTTGCTTGATGAACTGAGGCGAATTCAGCACAGCTTTTCACTCCTCCGACAAGCAGCTCGTAATCTTCGGTCGGGTCTTCTTTAATCTGCCAGTCACGTTTGGATAGGACTTCGTTCAGGATATTGTCGTCGTAGCTAGACTTTTCCTTCTTGGCCGATGAAGACAGTTCTTTTCCAGTTTGCGGCTGAGCCGAATCTTCGTGCGAAGAAGGCGATGACATCTTCTCCTTTGCAGAATATGGTCGATCTCCGCATTAGTCGTGCCTCTAGGAGACTCCCATGTCCATCGGCGGCTTTCTTTCTCCTGGAAAAGCAAGTTTCCATGAAAGAGACGTGTTGCGGACGGAAGCCTTGCGAGACGGTTCCCATTCTCATTTTGTTCTCCTGATCCAAAATTTCCGATCCTGTATTCGCTCTCGTCAGCCTTTCCTATTCTGGCGTTGAACTCTCCAACAACAAATCTATGATATGCTTTATCATTGCGGATGACTTCGTCTAACTGGTAGTAGAACGCATTTAATTCGTACTCACCACCTGCGTCGGTCGGTGAGTAGCTGTTGAAGATAGTGATCTTCTTATGACGCGACAGTTGCAGACGGAGGACGGCTGTGCGAGGGGAAAGGATCTCGCATGAGTCGACGAGATGGACAATGGACGGATGGACGACAAAGCCTACGCCTTCGACATTTCGTGACGGGACCTTTCCTCGACGGATCACAAGGATCCTGTTGTTTAGTTGGCGTTTATCATTCTTTTTGATTTTTGTTTCTTGTAATGCGATCACATGAAATATAGTACGATCTGCCGCTACAAAAAGGGCGTGAAGATCAGCGTCTGTGTAGAATGCTCTGGCATTATACGTGCATAGTAAGAAACAATCTCCATGGCGTGTCGTGCGTGTGCTAGTCAGATCCGGTTCCAATGACGTCCTGTGTAACTCGAGATTTTCTGGCCTCTCACCGGTCGTCTCACCACCTGACGTCATAGACGGGTGCACCCAGTGTGCATGGTGCTGAGGCTGGCCTATTGCTGGTTGTGCAACTCGGTCCTCCCTGGGCTCCTGACGTAACCTTGCAAGGGCGTGTCCAGGTCTTCACCACGATGTGGATCAGAGGGAGGTGTGTTTTCAGCGACGAATCCTTCGCTCGTTCTTTTTGCTAGTTGATTCGGAAAGATGTTTAAACCGAAATCAGAAACGGAAGTAGGAATGGAAAAGTAACCGACCCCTCGAGGACGATGTAAAAGCCGAATCCTGAATGGAAGCCGAATGTGGAACTTTATACTTCTTGAATTCATAATTTACACGATAATAGTTTGTGCTCTTAATGAGTGTGGCGAGTGTGGCGCACTGGTCGAAGGCGCCCTGCAGTGGCACATGGGATCGACCTTTGCGCCCAAGGTTCACTAAGCCTTCCATCCCACTGGAGTCGGCAAATTGGTACCGGACTTGCCTGGGAGGATAGCAGCATTGGCTCTAACCATCAGCAGGTCGCATCGAGTTATTGTAAAGGCCAGATATGCATTCAATCACCTCCAACAACACTTGATGAAGTCGAATGCATGGTGCATCCCTCAGGGATTGATCGAAGCCGAGGGTTTTATCCTTTTTGTCCTTTAATGTCAATGTAATTTTAATTTTGATTCAATTTTAACTTTAAGTCTTATTTATCAGGTTGTTAGGAAATTAAATGCAGATTTCAAGTGTACATTTTTAAAGCAACATATATCAGCTCATAATAAACCATATTTATCAAAGTAAAAATGGCCATAATTCATAGATTTTCGCCAATAAGAAAGAGGTTATCCCACACCGGTTGCTTCTAATTTTGAACTTCTGAATGCGAGTGTCGTTGAAGACAATTTCGGTTTTGACTTGGTTTCTAAAGCATTTCTCGCACAGGAGGTTATTGACGTGCTTGAAGCAGTGTTAGTCGCTAGGCAAGGGTTCTGACGAATATGATGGATAAAGCAGTTTCGTAGAACAACTCGTCCAATCATTCCAGTATCGATAGCGCAACATGTTAGCAATTCGTACGGCATCCGTTTGTCGAGCTTTTTCGACCTTCCGGTTATGTCGAGTACGCAATGCATAGAGAGGGGTAGCACTAGCCAGCCGTATCTTTGAGGTAGTTCTCGTCATCACTGTTGGCGACAATTATCCGACGAATCGGCGTTGGATTGCTACTTGACTGGAAAAGTGCATAGTTGGTCACCGTTGTAAAAATATATCTAAATATAAAGAGCAGAAAGAATTAACTAAATAAAAGCGCTCTGGTTTAAAATACGCGGTGGGACGTGGTGCTACTGCATCGTAATACATTGTATTATTAAACATTCAGGAACGATATCTGTTTTGTAGATAATTAGGAGGCACAGCGCTGCACTATGCAACCGTCGTCGTCCATTGTCTTGCATGGTCCTTCAAAAAGTATGAAAAGATAAATGAAAGAACTGGCAAAATATTCGTTATCTTTGTGCGGCCGGTCTCTCTTCAGCTGGTTCAACAACATTTGGAAACTGCTTGCTACTGCTGTTGTAAATAGACGTCATACGCGTTCCCAAGCCGCACGTTTGCTCCCACTCAACGCTTGAGCTAACTCTTTCATCAAGTTGTCTTCACAACCTAGACAGATTTAGTTTTACCATTCGGAATATTACCAATATCAGGATTTACCACCGTCTTGGTATCAAAGTCGCATGGTGGTAAATCTCTCTCAGATCCACAAAGGCTGCCACTCCTTGTCGTGGTGACAACCTGAGGCAGACTTTGGCCGGGCTGTCTTCAGGATTCTAGGGAACCACAATGGCTTAACCAGAAAATTCCCGAAAAATGGTGATTACGCTAGGGCCCGCACAACTAATGATGACGGGCTGTTCAAGTACCAAGTAAGTAAGTAAGTATTCGGAATATTCATTTCGTTCAGCGTGAATGAGAGATTTGAAACCAATCCGTTCCTCATGAATACCGTTTCTGTGAGCTTTAGTCGAAGATCAATCTTTCCACAGGCGTTGTGAAAGCGGCCGAGCATTCGTTCCGCCTGGCTAATGCTTGGTGTTATAAGGACGATGTCATCCGCAAACCCAAGATGATGTGATTACCGAGCATCGATGTTCACTCCCATGTTATCCCATTCCACCACTGGCATGACGCTCTCGAGGATGGTGGTAAATAATTTTGGCGAGATGCTACCGCCTTGCCTAACCCATCTTTTGACGTCAACGTTAATATCGTTGTAGAATGGTGATATCTTGATTGTAAAGTTTCTATACAGCTCACGAAGAATCTTTACATACTGAATAGGAACTCCCTGTAGTAACTATTCTCCAAAACGGTTACCATTGACTTAACTGAAAAACCATTTACGAGACTAACTATGTCAAGTTTTTAAGATTAGTGTTTAGCATCGCAAACTAAGGGTGTATCAACGATGCAATGGTGCTTCAGCCCCGTCACTATCATTATCAGGCTCCTTCGTACACGCGTCGCGGCTGCGATCGCCGTTGACTTTAGCTGCACATTGCATCGCTCGCCTCTCCAGCTTGGTAGTGCGGCTAATCCTCTTCTTACAACTCTGTCCTTAGCTTGTCATCTTCGTCGATTGTTGGCATCACTGTTCATTGCCATCTCATCTTATATCATCCAATGTACTTCTCGAACTTGCAATCGAATTGTTGTAGCCTTAACTTCGCAAATACTCGCGAGGCACGGCCATTGGGACAAGGCATATGCTTGGGTGCCTGATCCACCACTGCTGGGCACGTGACCATTCTTACACCATATCATACAGGCCGCTGGTCGCAATATATATCAAGTTGTTGCTCTATGACCTTGCCAGCGCACGTGATATGTCATATAAGTCACCTACGGTTACACCCGCCTTACGACCAAAAAGTCCCGCGTGACAGAGGAACACAACCCATCGGTTCAACACTCAGCCAACATTATACAATCAATGTAGGCATTAGCTGCTCAAACCACCACATTCCGTGTCTGTCTGGGGCCTGCATGACTGCTTCTACTTCAAATGAGTCAAATGCCTATTATCATGTGGATCTGGTCCATCTTACTGAACTGTTTTCAAAACCCTGCTTGCTCACATGGCTCTCCTACGTCCAATGTTCTGTAAAACCTGTTTGAAACAACACAAGCTAAGAGCTTGTAGACTACAGATAATAAGCAGATTGGGCAGTAGTTGTAACGAAATGGTTAGCGGCGTGTAGCGGTTCAGAGTGATGTAGAATATTAGTCACGCGGGTCTTTTAGCTATTGTAGTTGATCTACCAGCCTCAAACTTGGGTAATTAAACCTTTAATACATAAATACAGCACTAATAACATAATAGTAACGATAGAGAACTAATGGTAGAGGAATGACACAAGTTAGAGCTCTGAGGTGCTAAGGCCTGTAGTGAAGTGAGGCTAACAATGAGGCAATGGCATTCAAACATTATTATACCACTAACACAATATTAACAATAATAATGAGATTACAACCGAGTAGCCTTTGGTTAGCCGTAAGCGATGCCGCGCCGCGTCTATTCGCGGCCGGCGCGGCGGCTGAGGGAGACAGTATGCTGGGGCGGCGAGGGTTACAGACTAGCCGTGTTTCCGGCTGGGCTAAGATTTCAACATTATAGCGATGAGGTGCATTTTAGTGGATCGATGAGGACAGTAAGTTACATGAGCGTTGACGGTGCTATGAACAGTGAACACATCTCATCTACGGAACACAGTCATGCGGCTGGTCGTGAATAACGCTATGTCAGCAACGTGAACTTTGAGCATCGATGGGTGCCACCATTGCCTAAGGGTAAGGGCCAGTATGATAAATGGCTACAAAACTGATAACCCTATAGCGACTTAGCAGAATACATAGCATAAGTTGGCCGCTTAGCGGCATTGTACAAATTGCGTGTACATTGTGGGAGGAATGGTACATGCCACCGATGGCGTTGCAAACAGAACGCATTTGGCAACACCCGCCACTACTGACACCGCACCGTGGACAAGCTGAGAAACGAGATACAATAAACTGCTGATTGCTGAATGATGAATGCGAATGTGAGAATGAATGTGATTGAAGGAGAATGAATGAGTATGACTAAAAATGAGTTGAGGTGATTGAGGATGATTGAGGATGTGGTTGTGAGGAGCGGATTATCCGCGCTACCTATCGGGGGTAAGGTGAGTGATGGCATGTCTCCGCCGTCGAAGGCACCTGGCTTATATCGGCTGCGGGAGCCGCGAGCGTATGCAACCGCGCTTAATCTGGATTGTTGATCCTGGACCGCAATAAACTGTACCTAACTGCCTGAAACATCAAACGTCATTAGCTTCGTTGTTTCGCAAGGAAACATGATTACGCCTCCTTCAGATAAGCCATCGTCGCTATGCTACTGAAGTCAAACCTGAATCGCTATTGTGCCTGAAACATTGAACATAATTGATCGAGAAGATTAGAAAAGGTTACATTGCGGTGTTTGATGTGCGAGTACGAGGCGGCCATATTTGGACTTCAAATACTATTATTTAGATAGATAGAGAACTTTTCAAAGGAGAGGTTCTCTATACACCCGCCCGGATTATTTAGAGGACCGAGACGAAGTTTTGTTACCTATTTTGATTGAATTTGAACCCAAGGTTTTTGCATTACGCAAAGGTTTAAGAGGAATCTGAAACACATAACGCTAAAAACGTGAGTAAAAGGAGCGTCGTATACTGAGTGATCTACTACATCTACCTTAATAATTGGTCGATCTTATCGACAGTACTTGCCGATATCGTGGAGGTCACCCATAAACAAAAGTGCGGTTTCGCTGCTCTTCCCTTCAATAGGAATTTTCATTCAGACAGGTAATGTGTGAAGAGTGGAGCCAGTGCGTTTATGAGGACTGGCGGAAGGTTCTTGAAGTATAACTTCAATGATGCTGAGATATTTGCAAAACTCCGGCCCGCAGGTGTCTGCGGTGGGGAACGAACGCGCTGTTGTCCTTTCCGGGGAGTAACGCGTTCACCACCGCATCATGCGGGTGCTTCGTTTCGCCTGTCTCTCAGCTAGTTTTACCGATCTTTTGCCATCAGCAATGAATCGTTAGCGGGATTGATCTGGGGAGCCCAAATCGGCAACAAACCCAGTTAAGCTGAGGCTATAGTTATAATCTCAGCGTTATAGAAGTTATATTAACTGGGTTCATTGCCGATTTGGTCTCCCCAGATCGATCCCGCTAACAGGTGATTTCTGATGGCAAAAGATCGATAGAACTGGCTGAGAGGCAGGCGAAACGAAGCACCCACATGGTGTGGTGGTGAACGCGTTACTCCCCGGAAAAGACAATAGCGCGTTCGTCCCCCACCGAAGACACCTGCGGTCCAGAGTTTTGCAAATAACTCAGCATCATTGAAGTTATATTTCGCAATATATACCCTGCCATTAAAAAAAGTAGGCAGCAAATAATAAGTTAAAATTGGTTCTTGAAGTGTTCAGATGCTATCTTGTGCCGACCTGTTACTTTCGACTTCTCACCGGCACAATAGCGTATCGAATTTCGGAAGGAATAACCAATTGTACGACATATCCATTGTCATTTTCATATGAAACCAGGAGGACGTGGCTATGGAAGAGATCTGAGTAGTATTCGCGAATGATTTTCTTCATTACCTTTTTAGACGCTGTAACTGTTTCGTTTGGGCATTGGAGTGCAATCATCTTGGTCTTATTAGTTGGCAAAGTTTCTGTGGGCTTTGCGAATGCTTTTCCCAGCTTCTGCAACTTCGACGATTATTGCTGCTACTCTCTTTAAAATCTTCTTTTGTCGTTCATTTGGATAGTTTTGCAACTTCGGACGTGAATTGGCGGTTGTCTGTTGCTCATACAGTTCCACGCTGGCGTATCAGGCCGAGTTTTTCTGGATACATACGTCTCTTGGCGACTTCCGAACACTCGGCTTTCATAGCGCTAACGTGAAGATGTTGAACGAGCGAATCGCATTCTTCGTCGATGTTGTCGAGAACGGCGTCTTCTCAACAGCCACTAGTGAATTGAATAAGTCGCAGTTTATGGTGGTTTTGCGACTTCGTTTCTTGAATTTATCGCACTCTTTTTCTTCCGCGAGAAATGAAATCTTGCACGATGAAGACTTTAGTCTAATTCCGTGTAGAGTTTTGAGGCAATAACGACATCAGTAAGGCAAAGCCTTCGATTTACTACGATGTGGTCTGTTTACTTTTGGTACTCTCCAGTGGGAGACTACTACGTCCAATGTTGAGGGTAGAGCTCTTGGAAATTGCGAATTACCATGGATGGATTTTTTCGTCGTGATAAACTCAGAGAGCGGCCCATCCTGTTCGTTTCGTTCTAATTTGTGGGTCCCAATGTGACGTTCTTCATCCCATTCTAGTCGTAGCGTTAAAATCTCCATTGACCTTAAGGAATGCACCGTCTTCTCTGTAGAACTTTTCCAAGTCCATATAGAACGCTTCGACTTCTTCTTCGTCATAGTATGATGTCGGCGCGTAAACGACGAAGATTGTCAAAGCCGGAATTGATCCACGTTTTTTAATCATAAACATCCGATTCGGGTTGTAAGTTGGTCGAATGAATCGATGTTCTTGGAAAAACTCGTGTTGACGAGAATGCCGACGCCGCCGACGACCGACTACTGTCGCATGTTCCGAGGAACAGTTCTTCTCCGTTGTCACAGACGGCGTTGAATGAGTTCTGTTGTTTCATCTCGGCCATTCCGATGACATCGTACTTTATCCTTCTTGCTTGCATCATCAAGTTTTCTATCGAAAACTCTGATGTAACTCGTATGAAATGCTGAGATATTTGCAAAACTCCGGACCACTCTGATGTAAGTGTGCGTGCATTGTAGGCACAGACTAATATTTTAGTCCTTTCCGAATTAGGCAGCCTATAATGGCTCTAAGATTTTAGCAACCTCTCCGTTCTCGTCCTAAACAGCGCTGGTTAGTCGTGGACTTCTTCGGGTACTGTTAAACACGTGTTGTTATATTATTACAATATAACAATTATTATTAAATTATAATTATTAAATAATTATTAAATTATTAATTATTATTAAATTATACAATTAACAATATTACATATTATTGAAATATAGAATTCTATGTTGAACATAGATGTGCGAGGAAGGTATCACCTTTTCATACGCGTGTTCTTGAGCTGCTTGCGTCATTGGTGCACCTAATCCACCAGTGTTGGATGATCGAATCCTTTCAAGACGAAGCCGCTTAGACAAGATGTCACTGCGATGTAGAGAGAAAAAGTTGGTGTTTCCTTAGTGTTCGAAACGTAGTAATATGCGGTTCTGCAGAACTTTTCTCTTTTTCGAATTTCTTGATAAACTCTGTCGCTGCTAATACTCGTGCACTACTAGGAACCTCCAACACCGAAAAACTGGTGTGCTGACGGGCAGACTCGTGCAATGACGCAAACGGTAGGACATCCGCTACAACTTGTGGATGACTTTGACATGGTCGTCTTGTTAGACTTGAGGTAAGAACTTTGCTATAGATAGAACAGATTATTTGGAGCTATACATGCATTCTCTGATCTTTGTTTAAGCGACAACATAAAGTATAGTGTCCGTAGTGATCGTATTATTTAGCTGCACATATATACAATTCATTTGGGAGTTGGCCCAAAGAAATTGCTCCGTTACAGAACTTTGGCAAAGGACTGGCACCAGATCAGGTCTGCGAAACGTAGAAATGACTATTTCTCGTTGTGAATGAAGGCATCAATCAAAGAATTCAATCACCGACCTCAATTTCCAACTGCAGTACAGAATTTTCTGGCGCAGAGGAAAACGGAAATCACAGTAAGTTCTTATTCATATGTAGGAAAAAATGTAGGAAATTCTTCCAATGGGAACGATATTTTTCAGAAACTAATGACACGGTTGGCTTCTTGTGCTAAAAAAGGAAATGAAATGTCTGTGACTGCAAGAAGTTGCTTGACTCCTGGCACAATAAGTGACTTACAGAAGGGGTTTGTTGGCGTTTTTCTCTTTATCTCTTCATTTGTTTTATTACTTTTTCGATTTTAATGGTGCACCAGCTTTGTTGTGGAGTACAATTCACACTTTATTAGATTTTGCACTTGTTTTTGGGATTTTTATATGCGTTTTTTGGGTAGAAATTTAAACTAAAAGTTCTTTCCATGCCTAACGGTACATTGTAGGTCAAGAAATGTTGTGGTGATGAAACGGGGTGAAGAAGTGAAAAGGAATGAAAGAAAGAAAAGAGTAGGTCTTTAGGAAGTATTTGAAAGCGAAGAGGTCTTTAAATGTAACCAGCCATTCGTCGATTTGTTTGGGTGCTTTTAAAATAGAATATTTTTCAATTAAACTCGTTCTACAATTTATTTTGACCATTTGAATATGTTTTATGAATTTGAATAACCAAAGTTCTAATCATTCTTCTTTCTTTGAAGCTCCAATATAACCCATTTCCAGTCGGTAATAAATGCAATACCCAAGTGCTAAATTGGAGCGCTATCTTTTTTTGTGCTTTTTGGACGACAGATCTTTGCGTTTTCTGGTTTTTTGAGATAGTATACATCATATAGTTAATGTCAAGTGTAAAACCATCAGAAGTGATAGAAATGCGTTATAGGTGGAGAAAGTAAAAGGATTATGATAGAGTAGAAGATGTCGTGTAGCTCGACATTTAGAAAGAGGCGAATAATGGAAAAAGGATGAGTGTAGACGAAGGGCGAGAAACCAAAGACC